GTCAGTAAGTTTGGTATCAAACTGTAGATTATAATTCAAATTTTAGTATTATACATTACTCAACTTATTAATTTAAAAGTAAACATTAAAAAACATGGTTGAACATAAATTTTTGTGTGTCATGTGGTATGTTGAATGCAGCACTGGTTCAAATTAGATGTTTGTGATATCAAAATACTAAGTGTATAGTTTTGTACGAATTATAAACTCAAATTACTGATATTGACAAGCTAGAATATAAAATAAGAACCCCTTTTCTATTTGCTAAGATATTGCTAATGTAATTAATTTAACATAGTGGCACCCTGCCCACCTCTTTTCATTTTTGGAAGCACTACCTTATATACACTTCTATATATGACATGAATAACCAATTGAAAGTTTAGAATGTCCTGTTAGTGGCTTTCTTAGCCATTATAAAATCTTAGGATGCCATCTTGTTCTCTCAAACCAAGATTTCAAGGTGGTAGGTTGTGTCTTTAGTCTGCTCGAAATTTCATATTGTTTTAAACCCAAATACAGCTTAGTTACTAAGCTTGATAAATTATAGTGGAATTCTGTGGTATTGATATAGTAATATATGATTTTTTGGTTATTCAACTGTATATATAGAACCTAAAACAATTATTTATTTTCATTTATTTAATTTATATTCTTGTTTTTCTCTGTGTTCCACAGCTTTAGTTGAATGCTTGTTAGCTAATTCAAATGCAAATTTCATCTGTTTGTAATAATGCTTCATTAGTCAGCTTCCTTATTGGTTTCTCTAATCACTTTCTTCTTCTTTAACTAGTCAGCTTCTTTATTGGTTCTCTAATCACCTTCTTCTTTAACCAGTTAGCTTCTTTATTGGTTTCTCTAATCACCTTCTTCTTTAACTAGTCAGCTTCCTTATTGGTTTCTCTAATCACTTTCTTCTTCTTTAACTAGTCATCTTCTTTATTGGTTTCTATAATCACCTTCTCCTTTAACTAGTCATCTTCTTTATTTTTTTCTATAATCACCTTCTTCTTTAACCAGTTAGCTTCTTTATTGGTTTCTCTAATCACCTTCTTTAAGTAGTTAGCTTCTTTATTGGTTCTCTAATCACCTTCTTTAACTAGTTAGCTTCTTTATTGGTTTCTCTAATCACCTTCTTTAACTAGTTAACTTCTTTATTGGTTTCTCTAATCACCTTCTTTAACTAGTTAAGTTTTTTATTTGTTTCTTTAATCACCTTCTTCCTAAACTGTATTTCATGAGATATCTTGGATCGTATGCAGCTTTAGTTGGCTTATCTCCTCAAGTGTTTATAGCGACATGTTTTTTGTAACATTCCTTACTTGCTTTGCAACTTTTGTAATCCTTGCTATTGTTGCACATTTAATTTTCTTCTCATTCGTCATGGATGTTCTCATTCATACTTTCATTCTACACTTTTTTTTTAGTCTAACCTTTGATTCTCCACCATAAGACAGTATGAATAGGCCATGTTTTAACTTTTGGTGGAGTCAGTTGTATAACCACTTCTTGTTGAATTTCTACTTCTTTTATGCCCATATTCTGAGTCCGTGAGTGGAAGACATCAAAATTTTGTTCACCTTTAATTTTCCGTCACACCAAGTATTTTTGTTCTTCAGAAGCCAACATCATGCCTTTTTGATTTGGGTATCTCCTACTACTTGCTTTCACAGACTCCTCTTTATTTCCATTAGATCTCATGATTATAAAGAAATAGATGCTTTTCCTGAATGCCAGAAGATGCTCTAAAGACCATTAAGGGATTTTATTTCTGTTTATTTGTTCTTCATAAGAAAACTAGATGGTGATAACCTGTGATAGATTTATTCTTCATAATTTTAAAGAATATTGTTGAATTATTCATTATGATCATTCGTTAATTCAATGGATGAGTTGTTCTGGTTCACTCAAATGATTCTATTTTAGTATTTTATCAATAATACAATCACTTAAAAAATCTGTGGGTTCATACTCTTTCTCTTAGGCACTTTTTATCTCATTTATTTCCAGAATTTATCTCCTTCCTTTCGGCAGATCAGTTATCTCACCTTGATCAGATTCTTTTTATGCAACTGATCTTTGCATTATTTGTATTTCAGTGGATTTGTAATTTTTTTTGGATTATATCATAGTCTATACAATATTCCACAATCACAAACTTCTTTTATTTTGATTGCTGTTCTCTACCCTCTTGCATTGGATCTGGATGCTCTGGGCTTGAATATTTCTTCTGCATCAATCTTTTTCATTTTTGTCCACCTTATGCTTAATGCATGGTTCACCACAGGCTCTTAAAATCCTCGAATCTTATGGAAAATTAACTCTAAAAGTTACAGCAGAAGTCCTTGAAAAAGCTGTCTTTAAGTTGTGGTCTTGGAAAAGTCCTGAAACTTCAGTTTCATTAAAAAAGCTTCCATGAAATAATCAGCTGAATTGGGTTTGGTTTATAATTCATGCTGGTTGTTCTGAATCTTGTTCCTTTCAGTTTCCATTGGTGGGAAGTCTTAAACTAGAGGGTTTATTGTTACACAGTGGACAGTCGTAGATGTGAGTTCTTAGTTGCTGTCCATCATTTTTGACATAATGTCTTTTGTGGCTGCTGCTCAGTATCCATTGGAAAACCTGATTTATGTAGGTATGTGGCTTGTCTTGTCCATGTCTTTTATTTGTATTACACCTCTGTCACAACTGCTTATGAGTTTTGTCTCTTGTGTTGTCTTGTAGTCTCTTTTAAAACATTTGACTTAAATGCCAGAAATGAAAAGGTGGTCTCCTTGGTAGATCTACTTCCTGCTCTGATTAATCCTACTTATAGAGCTGTGCATTGTCTTGAAGAGTATTTATTTATACAGTGTATATGGTTGCTTCTAATGTGGATTATCTTCTTGTGGAGGAGGATTTATTGTACTATTTCACTTCTTAGGATCATCATATACTTCAACTTAAAACTGTTAAATCTTGTTTCCTCGTAGTTACCATACAATATTTGACTTTATTATTTACCCTTTGAGCAGCTTTGGAGAGTGGTCTGATTTGGCTATGTTTTTTAAACTTTTTCACAGGGATTAATAGCTAGGTAGTTCACAGTACCTTCTGGTTTTCCATGAGACTCAGAGGTATCCTGAGAATTTGATTTTCTCAACCGAATCTCAGTGTGTTATGTCAGTATTAGGACTGCTTACTTAATCTGTATAAATGCAGCTTCATACTCTGTTGTTGTTTTTTCCAGGCTTCTCCAATGTAGGGATGCCAGTTTCATGTCTATCCAGAAATATAATGCCATATATTTGAAGTTCAGCATCACAACAAGGATACCTGTCTGATAAGTTACTGTAGTTCAGCATCACAGCATCAGTGATAAAAAAGTTCTTTGTGGCTGCTCATTCCAAGGTCTCTGAACTTGGCTTTTTTGCTGCACATTTCAAATGATCCCCAGATCTGAAAGCTACTTATAACTTTGTTCTTTCTCAACCTAAGATTCTTTCTACGGCCTAAAATGTTATTTTGTTTACAGTTTTTCTGATTAAAACCGTGAAAGGTAAGTGAACTTTATGTTTTAGTTGTTAAAGATGGAGTGAATTGGATTTTTTTAACTTAACACAGATTTAATATTTGTATCATGCTATTAAAAAATAATAGTGTTTCTTAAATGTATTAACTTATATTGAAACATTTTCAGAAAGTACTTCTCTGAAGATCTTGCCAATAACAAAACTGTCCGTCTTATATTCAATGGCCAGCTTATGAGGAATGATGATTCCAGCCTTCAGGTGTATGGGGTTACTAATGGATGTGTTATTCATGTCCAGATTTCGCCAACTCCTCTTCACCAGGGGATGCCCCCTACACCCCCTGTAAATGAACTGGATCTTGGTCACTTGATGTTGCCTTTGTTCTTTGTGATCCTGGGACTTCTCTGGATGTTGTACTTTGAATTCACAGAATACTTTGATACAAATACCAGTGTGTTGCTGTTAGGATTGAGTGCCTTATTTTGTTTGGTGATGGCTTCATATTTTAGGCCTGATAATGCAGGAGCTAGAGTTCGCAGGTGATCAAACCTTCTGAGCAAGACTTAAGCAGACAGTTTCCTATGTGAAATTCTGAAATTGGAATATCTTTAAAGAATAAATTACTATTTGTCACAGTGATAGTAATTATTCTCTATATAAAATTAAAATTGCAAAATTTAAGACTTTGTACATTTACATCTTCCAGGTCTCTTAAAATTAAAATATTATACTTTCTCTCCTCCTAGTGTAATTTAAGTTTAATAATTTTCTTTTTACAAGGTCTGATTCAATATTTAAATGTGCAAATTAATATTTTATGTATAGTTTTTGTTTATATGATTTGTCAAACTAATTTTGAAGAATGTTCATTCAAAACATTTACCAAAACATCGAGTACAATATGACTGTTTTCAAACTGCATGTCTTTCTTCCATTTTCATGAGACAAAGCTTAAAAAAATTCTTGTGAGTTCTCTAGTTTGTCATATAAACAAGTAATGTTATGTGTACGTGATACTACGTTGTTGAAGACACGGCTTTTATGTTGTGATTTAATAATAAAGTAGTTAACTGCTTTATATGTACCTGTAAAAGTCTATATGAGAATAGATTTAATTATTGTAAAGTTAAGTATATAAATAGACCATTTAAATGAATTTTTTTTCACTGTTTAGATCCTCACAAGTATTTTTATGTAAAGTAAAACAAAGTTAAGTACTTTAAGCTGGTGCGTGTTTTTTTTACCTTTTGACAGGTATGTTTAAGTTTTAAGAAAGAGAGAGTATAATATTATTACTGCAGTGATATATTTTGTACTGGGGTATTACTCCAAAATGCTTGTCATTGTACCAGCTGAAATACTAATAAAAGTACAACTTTTTAGTTATTAAAGGTATTTTCTTAGCATCTGTGATTCTAAGTCATTTTACTGCAGCTCTAAACTAAAATCAAAGAGATATTCAATGAACAAATTTCAACAGTATATCACTCATACAAGCATTACCACTGATTTCCACTCAAGTACTCGATGTAACATGATTTGTTATTTAACAGTGTGGTATTTGTATGTTGTGAATTTTAAATAAAAAACATTTGCAGTGTGGCACATTGGGAACATTTTGTCCATAATCTTTTACAAAACACATTCATGATGTTGTAGTTATAATTAAGTCTTGTCCATTTCATGCTACTCATGAACTTCTGTTCAGCCAAGACATTTTTTTGTGGACTTAGAGGTCAAGTAGGTCATACTCTTGATAATTAACTTGCCACAAACTTGAGATATAAATTTTTTAGAAACTATAGGAACTGCCTATGGTAAGTTCCATTGGATATCTTGTGAATTGTTTGTCATTCTGTCAGTTTTGTTGATTATATGACCTTAAAACTATACTTTGAGGTATAGAAACACTGTTTTCATAACCATAAGACTGAGAATTATCCACTTTATAAATGATAGTTGCTTGTATTATTCGTGTCATTTTAAGTACTCACTCACCAAATTCTAAAATCAAGATATGCATACTGTAAGAATGAGACTCAGTCTTTATTTTCATGCAAGTTAAAACATTAATGAACTGTTTTCCAGCTATTTTAACAGTTTTTGCAAACCTTACCAGTAATATTTTGTTTTTGTATAATTCCATGCCTTACTCATCCTAAATGTATTCTAAAGATTATCTAGAATAAAAATCCCTTACCTCCATTTTTTCTGCTTCAATTTTCTTTATAAAACTAATAAGAGTTATAGGCTGACAGTACAGTAAAAGGAAGAAATGAATTTAAACAAATACAGATAAATTCTATGGAAAATTCTGAAGCAAACACAGATACTAGAATATTTTGTTACAAAATATTTCCGGCTCCTGCATGGCCAGGTGATTAGGGAGCTCGACTCGTAATCTGCGTGTTCGAATCCCCGTCACACCAAACATGCTCGCCCTTTCAGCCGTGGGGGCGTTATAATGTGACGGTCAATCCCACTATTCGTTGGTGAAAGAGTTGGCAGTGGGTGGTGATGACTAGCTGCCTTTCCTCTAGTCTTACACTGCCAAATTAGGAACGGCTAGCGTAAATAGCTCTCGTGTAGCTTTGCGCGAAATTCAAAACAAACAAAAAATGTTGCCATATTTGTTTATAAATGGCATGGTACAAAACCTGTGGCTTCTACAAGATTGTAAATTACCATAACAGTATATATTTCCTGTTGATCTGAATCTCATAAGTTCTACATTCTGGCATTTTCTTTTCTAACGAGGTCTTTCATACTAATCCATCATGTCTATTGCTTAATTCTGGTTTGTCAACAAATTGTTACGTCTCTGTTCGTTTGTTAATTTCCCGTAAAAATTCTTTCCGAAGAACTTCAGCGAGACAAGTTATTTCTTAAATAAAACTAGTTTATTCTTTCTCAATACAACTTTGCAATAAACAGAATTTCCACAGCACGTTAACTTAAACACACGCTATAATTTACAACGAATAAAGCACTTTACTTACGGTCACTACCGCTCATCTGACTCAATTATCTGTCTCTATATCTCTCTTCAATCTGCAATTGTGTATCCGCTTTATTTGCCGGGCTTATATACAAAAATAGAGGGCGTCTGCCAAACACTAGAGTTGCCAGGAACAATTATGATCCTTCTAGAAACTCATGACGTGTTACCAGCGTCACGTGACTTCCGCTGTCGTAACAAAATTAATGACCTTTAATACATGTGTGGTTTTCAGTGATTGGAGCTTTCCAATGTTTAGTGGTAAAACAAAGTTTATATTTTGATGCATTTTAATGAAACAAGTTTTCTGTTAAGAAGATTGTTCATAAAATCTAATATCTCTCTTCTAAAATAGAATTCTGCAGTCAGTTTTTCCAAGCTTGCAACTTTTTTTTAAGAACTTGTCTAAATATTTTATTCAATAATATTGTTGCGTCAGCGAGGTCACGTGACTAGTATCACGCCACTTCTTTTTCGAACCTTCCTAGATTGGGGGTAGCTAGTATATATAAGATGGTGACAAGTGACGGGACAATGTGTAGGTAGTGAGTAATTGATCTGCAGTCAGAGAGTATTGAAGTTAACGTTCGTTATAGCGTTTGTTTTAGCGCGAATGTGAAATTAAGTGTATCGTAAAGTTATATTCAGAAAGAGTAAACCAGTTTTATTAAGTAAGGACTTGTGTCGCTAAAGTTTCGTCGGAACGAAGTTACGGAAAATCAATTAACAGACTGAGAAGTAACAAATTGGTGTCAGAGAGTGGGATAAAAAATATGGAAACGAGAAGCGGCAAATCAAACTACAGCCTAGCAGACTTAATGGCAGAAATACAAGAACAGCAAAAGAAACAAGAAGAACGGGAAGAGAAATTACAACAGTTGTTAGAGGAAAAAGAAAATAAACAAGAAGAACGAGAAGAGAAATTACAACAGTTGTTAGAGGAAAAAGAAATGTTACGTCTCCGTTTGTTAATTGATTTTCCGTAAATTCGTTCCGACGAAACTTTAGCGACACAAGTCTTCTCTTAAATAAAACTGGTTTATTCTTTCCGAATACAACTTTACGATACACTCAGCTTCAACAGTCGCGCTATAATTCACGTCTCACGAGCTCGACTTCAACAATTCGTCTCTCTCTGACTGCAGTTCAATTACTCATTACCTACACACACATTCCCGTCACATTGTGAGCGTCTTATATATATACCAGACAAACATATATCTAGTAAATGCTAGAGCACTTCCGAAGACATGGGATAGTTCTAGAAAGCAGGTGGCGTGACAATAGTCACGTGACCTCGCTCATGCAACACTGCCCCTTCCTTAATATTGTTCGTCCCGAACAATAACCACATACAATAAACCA